CTGAAATACCCCGTGCAACCAGTCGCGTGCCCGGTGCAATCACTGATGGGCACAGTGCAATTAGGGAAAGGAACCCTAAAGTTTGAAAAACGCTCCGTGCGCTTAGCGAGACGCACGGTGCAATTATTAAAGTGCATGGGGCGATCAGCGGGCTGCACGGTGCAAGTGGTGAAAAGCCTGGTGCAATTAGGGAAACATAGGCTAAAGTCTGCAAAACGCTTCGCGCAATTAGTGCGACGCAGGCTGCCGTTATAAAGATGCAACTGGTGAGGCACCAGTGCAATAAGTGCAATGCACGCTGCAACTGGGGAAGTGTCCTGGGCGACTAATGGGATGCCCAGTGCAATCGGCATACCGCACCCCGAAGTTTGCAAAACGCTTTATGCCACCAGCGAGACACACAGCGCATTCGTTAAGGTGCTGGGGGTGATTAGTGGGACGGGCGGTGCAATTAGTGAAACGGACGGTGCGCTAAATGAAATGCCTGGTGCCATTAGTGACACAGGCAGCGCAACCAGTGACACGCACGGCACAATTAGAGAAATGCACGCTGACATTTGCGAAACCGCCTCGTGTAATTAATGAGACGCAGACCGCAGTTATTAAGACGTGTGGCAATTAGCGTGCTGCCCGCTGCAACCGGTGAAACGCCCAGCGCAGTAAGTGCAATGCACAACGCAATTAGTAAAATGCACGGTGCAATTAGTGACATGCCTGGTGCAGTTAAGTGTCATTCCTGGTGCAATTAGTAAAATGCCCGATATAATTAGTGACGTGCCCGGAGCAATCGGTGAATGCGTAGTCCACGACTGAAACGCCCGATGCAATTAGTGATATGCACAATGCAATTACGGGCACACCCAGGGGAATTCGTGACATGCATGGTGCAAGTGAACACACGCTACATTTAGTGAAATTCCCAGGGCCGTTCACGAAATCCACAGCGGAATTAGTGAAGTATGCAGAGTAATTAGCAAAATGCCTGGGGCAATTAGTGACAAGCGTATGGCGCATGCGTCGTGCACGTAGAGAAACACGCTGCACGGTGCACAGTGCACTTAGCAGCGTTTCTTGGGGAAATGCATGCTGCAATTAGTGAAAAGCACTGCCAGATTTTTCACGGATTTAGGAAAACGCACGGTGTGATCAGGAAAACACGGGGTGCACAGTGCATACGGCAGCGACGGGTGCATTCAGGGGAGTGAAACACAACAAAATGCACCCAGCAGTTAGGAACACGCGCCGTGCAGGGCTCCGAGAACCGCCCGGTACGTTCAGTCCCAGGCAGGGTGAGGTCAAGAAAGCGCATTTCCCAAAAAGCGGGATGCAAACGGCAAAATGCAAAGCGCACCAGGCGTTTTCGCAAGACGCCGGGCGCGAGTTGCGAAAAGCTCGGCGCGCATGGAGAAAGGACGGTGCACGACATCGTCAGCGTAAGAAGCCTGGGACGTTTCACCAACGGCACGGTGCATTTGGCAAAACGCCGAGCGCTTTAGGGAAAGGCACAAAATGCATTTAGCGTGACGCGGGAGGCATTTTGCAGAACGCACGGCGCGCTTGGCTAAACCCCCGCTGCATTTAAAGCGATGCTAAAACCAAGATTCCTGTGGGACGAATTTTTTTGCCCTTCCTGGCCAATCACTGGGGAAACACTGAAGCAAGCCAGCCCTGAAGCCTGGAGAGCCTCAATTGTCCAATTTGGTTGGAATTGTCCCCAAAAAGTGACTGGCCCGGGTTTTGCTGGCCGTACCTTCATGGGAGCAGTTGTTGTTGAAGGCGGGGGAGAAAGCACGCAGCTCATGCAGAAGGATGGGCTCTGTGCCTCCACCACCGCCTTCGCCTTCCACATCGGCCTCGGTTTCTTCCTCGTCCTCCTCCTCCTCGTCCTCATCACCCTCAGCGTCAGCTTCGGGGTCAGGCGAACTCTGCATCAGCTCCTCCAGCTCCTCGATGACCTGCAGGACATCAGTGTCCTCCATTTGCACCTGCATCCTCCCTCCATCTTGCATCTACACCCTGCAGCCCACAGCTATGTCCTGCACCTGCACCCGCACCCTGCATCCGTGGCCTGCACCCACATCTGCATCCTGCTCCCTTCATCCTGCACCCTCCATCCTCCTCTTCATCCTCCATCTCCGCCTGCACTTTGCCTTCACCTGTACCCTGCGGCCTCCATTTGCACCCTGCATCCGCATCCGCCATTCCTATCTGCATCTAAATCATACATCCCACATTCACACTCCCTACA